CTAACATAATCAAAAACCTTCTCACATCATAATACAAGATGACTCTCCATAATTTGTGGCCTGCCCCTTAACCAACACTGTTAGCAATATATACAAGTCACGCTATAATGTTTATATTTATCAGCTGCTGAACCCTTTGTAAAATACTCCCATACTGCAGCTTTTGGACGTCCACCTTTCTTTCGATTTAATAATTGTTGATCATGTTGGTTATCCATGGTACTACTTGTGAAAGGTTCCATAATTCAAGAAATCTTAAATGATTTTTTGAAAATTCTTATTTATTAACCAGTAGTCGAAAAAAGACCAATTTATTTATTATTATCAATAGTAATTAAAAAAAAAAAAAAAAAATCGAAATACATCATTATTAAAAGTATCGTTGTATTAATTATAAGTGTCGTTATATTAATTAAAAACATCATTATTTTATTAGAAGTGTTGTTATATTAATTAAAAAAACATTGTTATTTATTAAAAGTGTCGTTATATTAATTAAAAACATCATTATTAATTAAAAACATCATTTATTAAAAGCATCATTATTTTTAATCAGCGATCATAATAAAAAATCATATCATCGGGATTTGGGCGTATGTTTTAGGGATTTGGGCGAATGTTTGGGATTTGGGCAGATTTTTGGGATTTGGGACAATATTTGGGTTTTGGGATTACATTTGGGTTTTGGCAAAAGCCCGAATCCCGACCGAAAAGTGCCGTAAGTGCCGAAATAGTTTGGGTGACATCACTAGTACGGACTATAGTTTGAATAATTTAAAGACATTCAATTTATCGTCCATTTAAAAACTGCATCTTCTCAATACAAATTTATAAACTATAAAAACAATAAGATCTATCAAAACGCATGTTATTACAAGATCCGTTATTGAGAAAATGTAATTTTGAATTATATTCATTCAACTTTTTTTTTTTTACAAATTATCCAATAGGTTTATAAATTATCTATTTAAAGACAATAGATATTCAAAATGATAGAAAGATAATTTTATTATTGATACGATATTTCATGAAATATATAGCATTCCTTTACTAAATGGGACTTTAATGACTTATGTAGTATATAGTGCTAATTAAATTAGCCTGATCATGGAACATGAGTTTCTGTTTATTTTCTGTTTGCGCTATGGTAACGTCACTTTTATCAAGCTCTAGCGTTGAAGGTGAGCATTCGCTTAAAGCAAAATTCTGCTTATTCTGTTCTGAACAAGCATAAGCAATGCTACCTTCACCCTGTTCCAAGGTTGAAAGTACACCGATAGGGACAGCTCTTGAATTTATTATAGTGTTTGTTTTATTAGTGTTAAAAACTTTCCAACATTTATAATTATTAGAATTAATCGAAGAAAATTTTGATTTTCGATTGATACTATTGTTTGCGTTAGTATCTTTATCCACTTTCGTATTAACTTTAGGTATTTGCTCCGACTTTACATTCTTTGAAATCGTCGAGTTTGTAGACTTTTCGAAATCAACTAGAGTAGGCCTTAATTTTTGACTGTTAAGCTTATCATCTTTTTCATACCACTTTCTAAGCGAAGCTTCCATTCCCAACATAACTGCTTCAGCGTCAGGTCTCTTTTCCGGATCTTCATCCCAGCATTTAGTCATTAAATCTGCGTAATCAGGTGGTGTTCTATCAATAATTTTTGGTCGCTTTCCTTTACTCTTCTCTAAATAAAGTTGAAGATCATCTATTCCTTGATCATTGAAAAGTAACATTCCCGAGATTTCCCACATAATTATTCCTAAACTATATATGTCGGATTTTTTTGTTTTTGTCTGTAGCCCATCAGGCTTCAATAACTCAGGTGCGATATAAGGAAGAACTCCGTAAACTTCTTTAGGTTTTTCTTTTAAACATCCAAAATTACTTAAAGATTCACTTAAACCAAAATCATTTAGAACGCAGTGGAGTTTGTCCTCAAAAATCAAGACATTTCCAGGATGTAAATCTCCATGTATGAAGTCTAGATTGTGTAACTTTCTGATACTGTTGGAAATATTTCGAACAATTTTATATCTAAATTTCCAATCTAACTTTGGATTTCTTTCAATGAAGTTACATAAATCACTATCCATATGTTGAAGAACGAGCATAAATTCCCGAGTTTCGAAATTTCTAGTTAGTCCATAGCTTTTTACAAGAGATTGAGAATACTTTTCAGCACCAAACATTACATTAATCTAAATTAATTAAATATAAAATTATTTGGTAAATTTATATTATTGACGTTTATTTTATTTTATTATAATTACCTCTTTAGAGCATTGTTCGAAATTTTCTAAAGTTTTTAGAACGTAAGTGTCTCTACCACCTCTTTTTAATTCCTGTTGTTTAATATCCCATTCTGTAAATGGCCCATTTTCCCATATTGCTGTATATATTGTAGAAAATCCGCCTCTAGCTTTAAACGTAATATCTGTAAAATTATCATAGGGAATATATTCGATTATGTGTGATGGTGATACAGCATTAAGTTGACATTCTCGGATCAAATTATCGACCTTAATATTATCTGAAGACCATTTGTTGAACTGTTTTTTTAAATTATTACGGACACAACCTTCACAATAAAGAGTAGCAATAACTTCATTTTTACAATACTCGCATAGTCGTTTTTCGCCAATATTTTCAGTTACATTTTGTATATCACGGATTTTTCTTATATCATGCATAAGATATTTTCTTTCATCTATATTTAATAATGGGTCGCTATTAACTATATCGTAAAGAGCTTCAAAGAATTGAAAGCTTGTAAGGTTGGTAAATTTTCTCAAATTTACTATTGCTCTTTGTCGGCGGTCAGATATTACGTCAATTCGAAGTTTGGAGTGATTAATTTGATCCATTTTTCACATAATTGTATTTAAAAATTTTTACATTTTATGATGCCCGAGATTGTTATTTATATCTAGGTCCGTAATATTAAAGAACTCAGTTTTATTAATTATAGGTATAATAAACTATATGAATAAAATCGTATAATGGTGATATTAAATTTTTGTATTCTAGGATTCGCGTGTAACGCACATATGAAAGGCGTTACTGTTTTAGACCGTTTTAAATGATTTATCAGCCCTATTTGTTTTTCCTTTCTGATAAAGCTCAAGAAGATAAAAATCAGTCCTACATTATCAGAATATAAGTTATATCTTATGTTTCCCAGTATTTAAATTAATTGTTAAGTTCGGTACTATGCAATAATGCAATAATATTTTTGACCAGATAAATTTTGAAATAAGAATATTTACTACCCATTCAAAAAATCAAAATAGGTAATTAGGCATATTAATTCGGTCCATCCTACGAAACTTCACAGTTATATAAACATTTTCATGTTGGTTAAGGGGCAGGCCACAAATTATGGAGAGTCATCTTGTATTATGATGTGAGAAGGTTTTTGATTATGTTAG